TAGTGAATCAAATACTCCATTAAAGAGAAAATTGCTTATTTCTTGGTTCATAGCTTTTCAATAAAAATAAACCATTTTTATAATGAAAGATTGCAATTATTTTTCATACCAAACATTTTACTATTTAAATGAATCTTTTTTTATTTTTTAAAAAGAAGAAAAAGGTAAAAATCAAGTAAATTTAAAAGCCTAAAACTGAACTGAAATTCAAATATGTCTGTTGCAAATATTGAAAAGGAGTCATGCGGATTGACACCTAGAGATGTGACTAACAGTGGATTATTTAAAGAAGAACATAATTTTAAAGAGGAATTTTCAGTATCATCTCTATGTGTTGCATGTGGACAATTATGTTTAGGCCCATCACTAAAATGTACAAAATGTAGTTTTGTTATTCATAAAGGGTGTAAAGACACATTTTATTTAAAGTGCAGTGGAAAAGAAGATCCTATTAATTTTCCAGAACCAACGTTTAGTAAAAAAAATTTAAAAAATGGACAACACTCATTTAGAAAAGTGGGGAGTACATTTGCATATACATGCTCTGTATGTCATGAAGGTCTTATTTCTGATAGATTTAAATGTTCAGTATGTAATATGAATGTTCATAAAAAATGTATTAAGAATATAAAAACACCCTGCCGTCCAATAGCCTCACCCCAAGATGACAAAGATACTCATTGGTTTGTTCAAATTACAAAAAATCATGTTGGAAAAACTTGTGTGGTTTGTGGAGAAACATGTACATCAGCTCATTTTATTTGTGCGTGGTGCAAATTAGCTGTTGATGGTAAATGTATAGAGAAATTACCAAGTACATGTTTTTTGGGTAGACTAAGAAAATTTATATTACCAGCACGCTTGGTCATGGAAAAAGATGATTGGTATGAAGCGCTCTATGAAGAGGAGAAAGAACCAATGGTCTTCTTTATTAATAACAAATCAGGAGGACATTTTGGGTCAGAAATATTTAAACATGCTATTGGACTGTTTAACCCAGCCCAAGTTTATAATGTATTAAAAGGATATGAACGACCATTTAAATTTATAAAGAATTATGGTAGTAATTTTGTTGCAGTGATTTGTGGAGGAGATGGAACAGTTGGATGGGTGATGAACGAATTGAAAAAAGTTAATTTGAAACCAAAAATTTTTGTTATTCCATTAGGTACCGGAAATGATATGTCTATCTCAACTGGATGGGGAGGGGGATATGATGGAGAAGATATTGGAGTTATTCTTCCTCAAGTGTACGATGCCTCAGTACAAGATATGGACAGATGGCAAGTATGCGTTGAAGGACAAGAACAACCTATTCATATTTTCAACAATTATTTTTCAATTGGACTTGATGCTGCAATAGCCCTTGCATTTCATACTAAGAGAAATGCTAATCCAGAAAAGTTTACATCAAGGTTTACAAATAAATTACAGTATATTATGTGTTCAACCCCAATGATTGTTTCTGATAATAAATTATATAAATTTATTCATGTTAAAGTAGATGGTAGGGAAATTGAATTACCAAAAATTGAAGGATTAGCTATTATTAACCTTCCTACGTATGGAGGTGGAAATAAATTTTGGCCTCCAGTAAGTGTTGCTGAGATGGCGTTTAAATTTCATGACTTACATTATAATGATGGTGAATTAGAATTAGTAGGATTTTCAAATGCAATTCACCTAGGGGCATGTGTTAGTGGTACTGGAGCATCTAAACCAATACGAATAGCTCAAGGAAAAGTGATAGAAATAGTTATTGATGAGGATATTGCATGTCAGTATGATGGAGAACCATATATGCAATCCAAAACAACTATGACAATATCATTATATGAAAAAGTAAGATTTGTAGTGAAGAATCTATTTGAAGTAAATTCCATTTAATTTGATGAAACCAAATATTAAAAGAAAATTAGAGAAAGATAATTTTAATTTATGAAATTAAATAATAAAATTTTCATTGTTATTTTAGATTAATGTGTTACATAAGTAAAGATAATCGTGAAGATCTTTTAAGTGTTTGAGATCTCATTTTATCTATTGGTGATGAAGTTGAAGTTACTTGTGAAGTTACAACATTATTTGAAATAGTGGCATTAATATTACTTGAAATAGGATCAGGGAATGAATAGTTATTAGATGGAAGATGTGAATTAACTGAAGAAATAAAACGTTCAATATCACTATCATGATCATATTCATTTCCTATTTCATTTAAAGCTTCATGAATAAATCTTTGAATAACAATTTTGCTAATTAAAGTACCAATTTTAACTACAATAAGACTTTCAGTTAATGATGCTTTCCATTCTTTTCTTTGAGATTCTTCTTTAAATAACATACAAATATTCTGATGTTTAGATGTTATAACTAAACCAAAACGATTTTTCTTTTCAACCTCTTCAAATGTTGTAGTTTGGTCCATTAAAAAATAAAATGGCTTTGTTCCAATTTTTTGTTTAGACATTCCGATAGTAATTCTTGCATTTTCTAAAAGAACCAATTTTGAAATTCCTTTAGAACTCTTTGGATATTCTTCAATAACTTTGACTATTCCTTCTTTAGTAAATTCTTTTGTAAAATTACTGAAGTCAATTGTTGAAGATTGTAATAAGAATTTAATTCTATTTAATAATTTTTCTGATACTTGTTTAGTTATAGGATTTAATGACAATGAAATCATATCATTTACATTATTAAATTCACAATTAATTGGTTCTATTCCATATTCATAAGCTAAATCTAATTTATTACCAAGCACAATAATAGATGCAAATGGATAAACTCTTTTTAATTCTTTAATTAAATTCTGTGCATAAGTCACAGTTGTTATACGAGTAACGTCATACATAACGATAATTAAATCTCCTCCAATTTGTTTTTCATGTAAATAACTAATAGTATTATCAACTGCTCTCTCTTCTATTGTTTTATCATCATTACTTTCGTTTATTTGAGCTTTCATTCTAAAATCTCCCGGCATATCAAAAACATCTATATCACCAATGAATGATCTCTTAGAAGTTATACCAACAGAAGCTTCATAAAATTTATTTTTTTCTTCAGATCCTTGAGTAAGATATTTAAATAATGTTGATTTACCAACAAAATAATCACCAAGAATAATAACTTTCTTTACAACATCAAGACGTGAAGATAATAAACTCATCTTAGATTTATTAATTGTTGAAATTATAGTATTTTTTAATTCACCTTCATCAACTATTTTAATAACTTCATTGGTAGTACAAAAATCATTAACAACACCATTATCATTCATAGAAACAACAATTAATTTTTTTAATGCTTGTGTACCAAAAAATTTAATCATTTTTGAAGAAAAAGACTTTAAATATGATGCTGATTCTTCAGTAAGATCAGTAATTACAATATAAACATCATATGACTCATTTTGAAATTCAACATCAATTAATTGTTTAATTCCAATACTTGTTGAAACAGCAAAATATGATGTTCTTTCATGAGAGAATGAAGAAATATAAGGAATATCAGGTTTTAAATATACTTTAGGATCATCAAATAATGAATAACAACTAAAAATAAGTTGGTCAATATAACTTGTTAAATAAATATTATAAGAAGTAAGTCTAGAATTTGGTGTTATAGAAACTAATGAATTTAATTCTTTTTGAAGCATAGAACTAAGTGTTACTGGTGGATTTTGTTTTTTAGATAAAAATGGTTCTCTACGTTCAAATATTTTTGCTGTAGCACTTCCTGAACGTTCTCTTAAAGCAGGAGTAGTATGTGGTGAACTTGGAACTGAATCTGGTAGTGCTAGTGTAACATGTGGTGAATTTAAACGTGTTGGAGAAGTAGAATATCCAACACAATGACTATAATTACTTGTTGGTAATAGTGAATATTTATACTTTTCTTCAAGAACTAAATTCTTACATGAACCAATTGTTAAACCACTCGTTCTTGAAATGCTTGTTTTTCTTGAATACTGAGGAATTTGTGAATTGGCAAAAGAGGACCGTTGCATGAATTGATTTCAACTATTTTTATGAAATTAGTAGAGATTTAAAATAATAATAATTTTTTATTATTTTAATACATGAAAAATGAAAAAAAATGCTGAATATTAATGCAATTTTATTATTTTTTTTTTTTCATTTCATATTTTTCTTATAAATGTAATACGTTCATCACATCCTAAATCTTTATTTCCTTCTTCAATTGAAAAATAATACTCAAATCTATTCGATTCTTATCTTTACTCCAAGTATTATTGAAAAAGAAAAAAGGGTTTCTCGCTTCATCTAAATGATTCTATATGTGATCTATTTTTTGAATATTTTATTTTTAGAACAATTAAATCGTTTTTATTAAAAATGAACAACAAATAATCTTAAAAATATCAAAAAAAACTGTTTTAAATGAAAGAAAATAAAATTCAAGTTGAGTCACGAAATGGACTTTTCCTTCCAAAATTACCTCCTAAAATAAAAGAAATAAATGAAACTACTTCAAATAAATTTTTTGAATTAAAAAAAATGGAAATGACTGATGACGCTCTTGGAGAAGTTTGTCAAATGCTTAATTGGACTTCATTTTCTTTTGACGAGTATATGGAAGGATTAATAGCTCCTATTCCGTTGCAACAACCTATTTATAAAGAGCCTAAATTATCAGATTTAGTAAATTTAGATGAAAATACAGAAGAGATTGATGTTATCTCTCTTCCTGAAAATTTCTGTCAAATTCTTGAAGTTTGTGTGTTCTTTTTATATATAATCAATAAATAAATCTCAATCTCATTTCTCTAGGAAGACTTTTATTCAACAACTAAAGTAAAAAAACCAACAAGTTATCCACCTGCATTACCTAAAACTAAACGTATTTATTTTGATTAAGACTGTTATTCTTTTTTGTATTATTTATTTTTATTTGTAAAAATCAAAAACAAAAAGAAGAAAAAATAAAAATTTGTAGAACTTAAAAATTATATTATTAAAAAATCAATGAAAATCTTGATTTTTATGATTATTTTTGTTGTTTCAAAAGGTCTTGAACCAATTGAAGTGGCAACTGAAGAAAATGGATGGAAAACGTCCCGTGTTCGGATTGCACGAAGTTTAGATAAAGAAGAGTTGAATAATACAGTTGAAGATAAATACGATAGATTTAATAGAAATGAAAATTCGTATGATGATGCAACATTAAGGTCACGTGTTTACGAAAAAGAAATGGCTGAAAGAGACAAATCACAAATTACAGCTAGAGATGAATATCGTAAAAGAGCAAATTTATACAATGAGAAATGGAGGAAAACAAATGTCAATGGTCATTGGAGTGGAAAACATTTTGATAATAACAGAGATAATTTCAAAGAAAATACAAATCGTTTAACTTCAAGTGGAATTGATGTTAGAAAAGATTCAGGAATTTCTATGAACCCTTCTTCATCAAAACCAAGTCCCCAATTCGCACAACCTTCATTAGCATCTCAATCAAAAAGTATTAGCGAGATTACTGCTGAGAGACAGGCTGCTAAAACTAATCCTACTAATAGCCAAAGTACTAATTCGTTAAATAACACTGGTAATACTAATAATAATCCTAACCAATTATCTAATACAACAAACAATACTAATCTCAATAATAGTACACAATTAAACAACAATGGAACACAACTAAATAATGGAACACAATTAAATAATGGAACACAATTAAACAACAATGGAACACAATTAAATAATAGTACACAATTAAATAATAATACTACACAGCTAAATAAAAATGCTACACAATTAAACAGCAATGGAACACAACTAAATAATTCAAAAAGATCGAGCAATATTATGCAATCAAAAGGTACAACTAATTTAACTAACTCAAGTCTATTAAATAATTCCTCAAATAAAATTTCTTCTAGCGGAAATGGAAATGTAAAAAATAACAACAAGGGATCTGTAAATAGTAATAGTATTGGTATGAATAATATTCAAGGATCTAACGCTTCCCCATTTGGAGGAAATGCTAATAATAAAGTGAATGGAAAATACAACAGTGACTCAAATCAAAACAAAAGTCCTGGTGGTCTTATTAATGAATTTAATAAAAATAATCCGACCAACACTATTCCTAGAGATAAACAAAAAGAAACTAATGAATTAAATAAAAACAACCAAGAGAGTAGTGGAAAAGGAACAAGTAAAAACTACTCAAATAGTCAAAATGGAAACAATAAGTATAACAATGAACAGAGCAATTCTAATATAAAGAATAATGAAAAATATAATACTCAGTTATCAAATAATCATTATAGAACTCAGGACAAAAAAAATACAAATGACAACAACAAAAACGAAATGGACCCAAACAATAACCCTGTTATAAATGAAATTGACAGTATCATCAAACAAAATGCTCAAACAAATAATGAGAATGTTAGAATGATGAAACGTGTGAAAAAAGATTTGGAAAAAGAAACTGAAAAAACTAGAGCTAAACACAAAAGATCAGAAGAATGGAAAAAAACTCAAAAGTTATTGGGAAAGACAAATCAACTTATAGGAACAATAAACAAAATGGAAGACGAAAAGAGTAAAACTAAAAAACAACAAAACGAAGAAATAGTACCAATTCTTTATAAAAATAATGGTCCACACGCAAATGATCCAAAATATAAATCTGGATATAATAATCAATTAAGACATGCTCATGACAACCAAAACGAAAACAATGAACGGGCAGATAAACTTTATGAGGAATATCAAAGAAAATACTTCCCATACCGAAAGGCTCATAAAAGAGTAAGGGGATGGGTTAATAATGCACCAAGAAGTAAATATAGACCTAAACCAATCTATTATAGAAAATATAAAAGAGTAGTAAAACAAGTAAAGCCAGTTCAACACGACTATTATAAAGACGAATATAATCCAAGAATTGACCCTAAGATGACATCATTTTTAAATGATGATAGCTGGAAGAAAAGAATAGATATGGAGTGGAAAAGAAAAATTTCTCAAAAATTCCAAACAAATGAACATGAAGAAATAAAAAAAGATATTCACACATTAGAGATAGAAGAAAAAAAAGCATTAAATGAAATTAAAAAGAAAATGAAACAAGCTGAAAAAGAAATTGAAATTAGAAGTGTTGCATTAAGAAAACAATTAATGAAAGAAAGAGAACAAAATGAATTAAAACTACAACGTATGTTAAATAAGAAAGCAAAAGAATTTGCTGTTCAACGTAATGAATTAAAAAAAGAATTTAAGAAAACAATGTTAAAGGCATTTAAAAAAGTACAAATGAATTACATCCAAAATGAACCAAATTTTGTTGATTATGCAAAAGAAATTAAAACGTTAAAACTTTTATCTTCAAAGGTATTGAAAAACTTAAAAAATGAAGAAGAAGAACAACCTATTTCATTAATAATTTAAAAACTTGTTTTGATTAATTCTTTTAATTAGTTTTAATATAGTTTAAAATAATAAAATTATTTGATAATAAAATACCCATAATTTTTCTAAATATAATTATTAATTTCTAATGTAATATTAAAAAAGAAAAATAATAGAAATGATGACTTATGTGCTTAATCTTTGTTGATTTAAAAATGATAGCACTTCTTTAAAGTCTGATTCTTTTTCTTTTCAATTTTTCATCCATTTTGTTTGTTTAAAATACAAAAACAAAATTTATATTTCAACTTCTAATTAATAATAATAAGCCATTTTCCATATTCTCTACTTTAATTTATTTTGATACTTCTTCATTCAAAAAATTACTTTATTTGATTTTCTTAGTCAAGACTTAAAAAGTCTTTAGTTTTTTTGGTAAAAGACTTTTCATTTTTTACAATCACGACAAAAAGAGTAATTCATGTTCTAATCATTTTTTAAATGACAATCTTAACCAATCAAACTTTTATGAACAATAACTACAAATTTAACAATACCACTTTTTCATAGACTAAAAAATAATATTTCTTTAAAACACAATAATTTCACTGAAACCAAATTAAAACAGAAATTGAAATAAAGAACTTTAACTTAAATTATAGACACCAAAATGAATCTAAAATTAAGGAGGTTGATTTTGCATTAAAGAGAAGACAATTACCTATAAGCTATACCAATAAATGACATGATTTTTGTAACGAAACTATAAGACAATGAAAGAAATAAATTTTCTTATTTTCAAAAAACAATCTTTTAGAAAATGATATAAAACAAAAAAAAAACAATTGCATAAATAGACTTTAAGGTCAAATAAAATAATTCAATTTAGAAAATAAACAGAATGACTTAAACCACAATTCAAACAAAATACTATCATCTATTTTCTTTTAAATTTTTCTTGGTATTTAATTTATTGAACCAATTATTTAATAAAAAATAAAAAATAATAATAACTAAAACCAAACATCAATAAATACAATTATTTTTATAAATAAATTAATAAAGAAAACTCCATTTAGTAAAATAGGTTCTTGAAATAAGTCATCCAAAAAAATTCGAAGTTTCAAAAAAAAAAAAAAAAGAAATATCAGAATTATTTATCGTTCACTTGATGTTAAAAGAAGGAATTAGAATACACTAAAATAATTATTGAAGTTTAAAAGAACTATAAAATTTTTAGAAATGATAAACGAAAAAGAAAAAGGAAAAAACTCAACAAAATGAAACTAATAAAAATAGTAGAAATTCAACAAGTTTATAACATTCTGAGTTTAAAATTTTTTAATTGTTATAAAAGAAAGAAAAACCCTATTTATTAAATTAAAAAAATAATAAAAAGAGTCATAAAAAATAGAAAAAACGAATAATAATTTAAAGAAGGAAAAAGAAATAAAAAGAAATTCTTAAGAAAAAAAAATGACGTGTACTTTTTTTCTTTTTAGAGAAAATTGAAACTTAATTCTAAATCATGGAAGACTTTGGGAGAAAGCCAAGGTCTAAAACCAATTCATTGTCTCAAAGAGAATTAAAACAAGAAAGTAAAAGTTGGGAAGCTATTCAACAATCTATTTTAATGTATCTATTAATTGAAAATGGATATATTGTTACTATTGATAGACCAGATAAATTTGCTCATTTATCTAAACATTTCTTTGTTATTTCAAGTATTAAAAAAGGTATTAATGAATTTAAATTTTGTGAAGAGATTGGAAGACGTTGTCAAAATATGACAAATCCTGCAATTAGAGTTTGTCAACAAAAACAATTAAAAAGACATTTTGATAAAAGCAAATCTTCTTTATGTGTTAATTTACTTATTGAATTCGCACAAAGATGTGGATATAATTTCACAATTCGTGGGACAAGAAGTTCTATTTATACTGTTAAAATGCAAAAATTTTGTGAAATTTCTAAAAGTGGAAAAACACTTTATAATAAAGAAGATATCTTTCGAATTGGTTCTAAAGTTAATGATGTTCTAAAAGAATTATGTGTTGAAGCAAATGGTAAAGAATGTGTTGATATTAGTTATAATGATATGAAAAAAATTGATGAAAATGAAAATTCTGTTACAACAGATGAAATTGTTTCTCGTTCCACATCAAGAGGAGAGTTTATGGAAAGAACAATGTCAGCATTTAAAAAAGTTGGATTTGGAAGTAATTATGTGGTACTTTATTAAAAATTATTAATGTATTATTAAAAAAACATTTAAATTTTTCATTTTATTTATTTAAAACAAAAGGAAAAGGATTTAAAATAACTTGTAAATTAAATTCTTTGTATTATACTTCTCTCTTATTTACTTCATAATATTAATTCCTTTTAACTCTTTTTTTTAATCATGCTTTGGTGTAATGAATAACACATTAATGTGAAGATATTTTGAAAAAGAAGTAATAATGGTATATATAAAAGCAATTTCAAATATTAATGCAAAGCCAAATAAAAGTTGTAAAGAGAAATAAAAGTTAAAGGCTGGTATTTGTAAAGAATAAAAAAGACCATTTAAAGTATAAAGTGCATAAAGTATAAGAAGTGTATGATAATATGTTACAGGTTCTTTACAAATTCGATGAACAATTAACCTTTGAGTTAAATAAGCATTAATAAGAATTAATGTTCCAATAAACAAATGATAATGAGTGATAATAAAAGTATTTGGTAATAACAAAATGTTTATAAATGACAATAAACTAAAACATACATATGGAAGTCCATGTTTTAATGCTTCTATTTTTGTACAACAATGAGTTTTATTAATGTGACTAAAAGCAGAATAAACATAATAAATATCTGCTAATGAAGCAAATCCAATAATACAATATTTTGCCCAATATTGAATTGTTATTCCAAATATTTCTAAATAAATAATATTTGGATTAATGGCAATAATAATTAAACCAACTACACATAATAATTGTAATTCAGTTGGATTAAATATATATCCAAGAACCAGAGTGTTTGTATGATATTCTTCCCAATGAGACATATAAAATACAGTTAATAAAAATACAAAAATAAATAATTGTGTTGTCAAATCAAATTTGAAAACTATAACTATTATCATTGAAAAGATTCCCATCATAAATGTGTCTACTCCGTGGTCAAACAATTCTCCAAGAGGAGATGAATTGCTAGTTCTTCTTGCTTGTTTACCATCAAGATTATCTGCAGTTTGGTATAAGAAAATAAGAATTCCACTCATCACTAAAGTAAATGTAGATACAGTTTCACTTCCTGTTGGTGATTCAGTGACGAAGAGAATATATGCCAATACCATAAAGAGTCCACCTATTAATGTTATCATATTTGGAGCAATACTTCTAGGAATACAATGAGCAAGAAGAGGTTCCCAAAAATAAGGAGAGAGAATATAATTAGCACATAATGAGTGGTCAACCCCACTGTACTTATAATATTTTAAATTATTCAGACTTTCTTTAGTGATAAACATTTCCTAAAGTCTTTTAAAAATAACTTTTTTTAGTTTAAAACAATAAAAAAATTTCAATGTATTTTTTTTTGAAATAGTTTAAAAATTAAAATGTTTTGTTAATTTGAATTAATAACTAAATAACAAATTGTATCACTTTTGCTCTACTTGTGAAAATCTCATTTGAGAAAAAGAAGGAAGAAGTGAAAACCTATAAGTTCCATTGATATTTACTAAACGAGTTACTCGAGAAGAGGCTGGTTTAGAATTAACGATTATATCAAAAAGATCGTCAATCATCATTTTATTAATATTAAAAAATCCATGTCGTGCTTCATTAATATTTCTATCTAATTCTGATGTATCAATAATATCAATTTTATCTAAAACTTCCCCATTATATTCTAGTGGTGTAGTTCGGGCTCCTAATCGTTCTTTTTTTGTAAGAAAATTACTTACGTGTAATGCAGAATCTCTTTGATCAGCATAAATTGTAATATGCTCACAACGTTCCTTTAACTCATTATAATCTTCAACGAATGTTTCAACTTCATAATCAGAATTAAGTAAAATCAGATTAGCAAATTCCATTTTAATGTTTCCCTGTTCAATGTCTTCATTTAATTCTCCCTCACTAATATCAGAAGAAGTCCCATACGTAGAATATCTTGTAGAACTCTTAGAAACTTTTTTAAATAATGACTGAACCAATAAGTAGCTTTGCATAAAGAATTTAGAACCAAGAGAATGACACATTATATGAATTCTTTTAACACCTGCATTTTGTAACGACTTTAAAAAATTGAAAAAGTCTCTGTGTTGATTTCTGTCACATGCATTATTTGCTGCACAGTAATAACAAGCAGCATTTTGAGACGATGGCCAATTAAATACTAAAGGAAGGATGTGTTGTGGGAAATTTCCTAGTGCAAGCATTTGACCCATTCTTCGAAGAGCATCATATAATGTATGATCAAGTCCATGAATAAATAAAAGCACTTCTATATTTCCTTCAGCAACTGAACCACATCGTTTGATCCAATGAGAATCTACTTCTAAAGTTTTTTCATTATTGAAATCTTTTACAGTTATTGTTACTTCTTTTCTTTTTTTAGCATGTTTTGAATAATAACCAGGAATAAACAAGCAATTCTCTTTTTGATCTACCATAACACTAATATTTGAAACCGGTTTATTTTCTTCTAAATGAAAATATAAATGATTTTTAAGAATATTAGTTATACAAAAACATTCTCGTTTTCTACAATTACATTCTTTTTTTTCGGCTATATAATGAACTAATGGATAATGTTTATAAAAAGTTCCACTAACACAACACTCTACTGAAGCAACTCCATATCCTAATTTTGTCTTTTCAATAAATAATTTACCACCTGAATTTGATGCAAATATTATTCTAATTGACTTAAATATATTTGGTGTTTTACTTTCAACTGAATGAAATGGACCAACAGGAATAGCATTGTCAAAATATCCTTCTAATCTTTCTCCATGAAAAGAGTTATCTATCCATGTTCCAAATCCGCTTGTTCTGTTTAAATTGTTTTGGTCAAACTCATTAATCATAAACAAATATTTTCCATGGTCAAACTCATATTTAGTTTTTTGAGTTTTTTTACTTACAATTTTCCTAATAGAAAATCGTGATTTGAGTAATGACGAAACTAGTTTATAAAGTAAAGGATATATCCACATATAAAAAATAACACCTAAGAACAGAACAAATATTAATGGAACAATAAATCCATACCACCTTTTTGACTGATTTTTATTTGATGATTCATCAGTCCCTGTGATTAGAATATTACTAATTAAAGTATAGCAATAAATAAAGATATAAAGTAATGTAAATAAATAAATCAGAATTGGATTTGAATAATGCATTGAAATCATTAAGAGAAAAGAAAATAGAAATACTAATACATAATATTCATAAAATCCTGAAAATAAATTGAGTCTTACCATGTTAATATATAAATGAAGAAAGTCTAAAAAGAGTATAAGACTTAATGTTGTTGAAGTTAACTGACTTTTAGATTGATCTTTATTAACATTCTTCTTTCTAAGCGCTTTTCTTTTCATCATATAATGATATAATTTTATTAACGAATCTTTTTCTTCTTCAAAAATTGGATAATCTTCATAAACTTCAATATCAAGAACTTGTACATCATTAAAATCAAGAGAACATCCCAATTCAGGTGACTCAATAGAGGGATTGGAAGTAGAAACATCGTTTATTATATTATTTGAGGAGTCAATATTTTCTATGACTTTTCTTTTGGGGTTGTCAAAAACATTAACAACAGAACTTGTCTCTTGGTCTTTGTGGAAAATCATTGTTTTAGATTTTGATTGTGAAAAACTAGGAAGAGACTTTCCCTGATATGTATCATCCGTTTCAGACATAAACATTTTATAGATGATAAAGATATAAAAAACTAAAAAATAGTATAATATAAAATTGAATGTTATTTATGAATCAAAAAATAAAAAAATAAAAAAAGTTAAGTAAAGCAAAAACAAAAATTTTTCACTTTAACTATCAAAAGTATCTTAAAATGAACTTAAAAAACAACATCCAAAAAATCGTATAAATATGAACATTGAACCACATTTACAACAACAAGTAGATATGACATTTAAGATTCTTATTATTGGAGAATCAGCTGTTGGTAAAACAGCTATATTGGAACGGTATTGTGAAAATGAATTTCATGACGAATTAATTTCAACAATCGGTGTTGATTTTAAGTCACGAATAATAAATTACCAAGGTAAAACAGTTAAATTACAATTATGGGATACTGCTGGACAAGAAAGATTTAGAAATATTACTTCGTCTTATTATCGTGGTACCCATGGCTGTTTAATTGTATATGATGTTACTGATATTACTTCTTTCGAAAAAATTACATATTGGATAAATGAGTTAAATGACTGTAGTATAAAACCAGAAATATTAGTTGTTGGAAATAAAATTGATTCAGAAGATGCTGTTGTTACATCTGAAATTGCAGAAAAGTTTTGTCGTTTAAGTGGAGGGTTAAGGTCAATGAGATGTTCAGCCAAAACTGGTGAAAATGTTGAAAGTATATTCAATGTTTTGGTTGACTCTATTTCAAAAAACAAAAATATTATGGAACGACTCGTTTCTGTACCAAAACTTTTGGATGATGCTTCTCTTCAACCAACTCAAAAGAAACAATCATGTTGTTGAAAAATTTAAAAAAGGATTTTTGTAATTTGTTTTTTTCATAAGACTTATTAATAACAATATCATTTTATTTGTTATTATTAACTAAATTATAATTTTTTATTGAATTTACTAATTTATTCTTAAAACACAACTATTCACAATAATAAAACAAAATTGTTATTTTTATTAAATTATAAAACTAATAAAAAACTTCTTTCTATACTTTTTCTTATTAATTTTTCTTAGAATTTATGAGTGGAAGAAAATTGGTTAGAAACAGGAAAATAAATGTTTGAGATTATGAAATGATATTTTTGCTCCATTGTTGATACAAATTATAAACTCTGTATATTAAAATATATTAGAAATTCATATAGTACAAGTAAATTATGTAAATAACTACTAATTTATATTAACTCAAGAATTGTGATAAAAAATTTTGTTTTCCTTTTTTTCTTTTTCATTTAATAACACAAAAATAACAAAAAAAAAGTTAAATTCTATAATTTTTCAAAAAGAAAGGAATAAAAAAAAATTATTAAAATATTTATTATGAAATAAATGAAATGATTTTATATTATAAGCAAATAATTGTCACTTTCAAAAAAATTGACAATTTATAAACATTTACAGTTTTTAATTGTTTCATTTGATTTTTTTTTGTTTTTAACATATTTCATAAGATTTGTCTTGAATGAAAACAATAAAAGTAATATAAATATAATAGAGAGAAGTAGAGTCTATAAGAAAAACAACAAGTGTATCTTAAGTCAATTATTAATTATTAAATTTTTTAATTAATCAGTATGTTATTTATATAATTTTTAAGGATGATTTGAAAGACATGATTTAAAATGTAATAAAAACATAATATTAAAAACTATAGAAATAAAAATAGATGAAGGGACAATAATTATAAGATGGTAAAAAAGAAGTTAAAAGAAAATGATTGGTTGGGAAGAAAAAGAAAGAAATGAAGTTATAACAGAAAAGAAATAAAAGTTTTGAATATGAGAACTTTTTTAGATAGTGATATATCTGAATATAAGAAATGAGTCAAATGATTGTTAAGGCTAAATGTAATGTCGCTTCTCACTCCTCTTTAAAATTATCTTTCATGGAAGGAGATAATATTAAAGTAGTCGATAGAATGTCAAATGGATTATGGAAAGGAACATTAAACAATCAAACAGGGTTATTTCATATCTCAACTGTAACTATTCCAGTTATTGAGACAGTCGTCATGAATTATGACTTTTCAACAGGAGACTCTACTTGTATGAAAACTAAAGCAGGAGAAGTTTTAAAAGTAATAGAAAAGAATGTACGTATCGGATGGTTATATTGTCAAAGAGGATTTGAAACAGGATATATTCCACAAAATTTTACTTCATTATATAAAGAAGAAAATAAAGAAGCTTCTCATACTATTCCAGAAAAACCAAAAATACTTCCTTGTCGTGCAACAGTAAAACAATTATATCAACCACATTCAGACAAAGAAATTAATTTAATTGCTGGAGATGAAATTGAGGTAATGAGTTGTGAAGGAGGATGGTGGTATGGTAGAAGTGGTTGTTCAATGGGATATTTCCCAGGAGAATATGTAGAAGTGTCTGGACCAATAAATAAAGAAGTAAAACAAGAGGCTGTTGTGTTATTTGACTATGTGTCAAAAGGAGAAAGTCAATTATCAGCAGAAGTTGGTGATATTTTTTATGTAGAAAAAATAATTGGAAGTTGGGCTGTAGTAATTGTTGATCAAGAACAATATATATTTCCATCAAGTTTTATTTGCTTATTAAGCGAGTCTGATAAAAAAATTAAACAAGAAACTGCTATTACATTGGATGATTTTTGTGGAGGTTCTATGGGCCTTCTTGCTGTTAGACAAAGTGAATTATTGATAGTGTTATCTAATGAAGCCAATGGTATGTCTAAGTGTTTTAAAGGAGAACAAAGTGGATTAGTTCCTACAAGTAATTTAATGACTATTAAAGATGGCCAAGATTATGTTATTGTAGAGAAAACATTCCAAGCCCGTAATCAGAATGAAATGACTATTATTGCAAATCAAGCTTGGATTGTAATGAAAATAGTTGATGAAAATTGGATAATTGGTAAAAGAAGTGGTGTTGAAGGATTTGTACCAAGAAGCTTTGTAAAGATACAAAAATTTGTGAAGCCATACAGAAAGGAGTATACTGAGGGTATTACTCACTTCAAAAATCAAACTGCTGCACGTAAGACTGGAGATGCTCAATTACCAGTTGATCAACCTAATTTCTTTAAAAAAGAAAATAAAGCTAGTAAAAAAGGATTCTTCACGCAAAGAAGAAGAAAAGCAAAGCCAGAAGTTGATAATACTAAACATGTTTATGAAGAAAAGAAACAAAATATTATGAGAGAGTCTATGAATCCAAAGAGAAGTTTCTTCAAAAAATCAATAAAGCCTATGACTGTTCAACAAGAACACACCGAAGAAAATCCACAAATCCAAGAAGAGCATAATGAAAGTAAAATAGAAAGTCAAGTTAAAGAAGTCCAACCTATTATTGAATCTAATCAACAACCAAATGAAATAAATAAACAAGAAGTAGAACAACCAAAACACGAAGAAGAACAACCAAAACAAGAAGTAGAACAACC